GGTTATTTTGTGTTGAAAAATGTGGTCTGCCCAATTTTCTTTTTTTTTTTTTTTTTTTTTTTTGCTTTCTTGCCTGATTTCTATTCTTTGTGCTTTCTCCAGGGCTTCACAGACTCAGAGAAAAACAAAAAGAAAGACGAATGTAATTCAAACAAAAAAAAATGATTTCTTGATTTTCTTCCAAATATCAAGGTGAGAGCAATGAAATGGAAAGAGAAATGTATTTTCTAGAATTTTTGGTTTAAATCTAAATTATTTTTCATCTTATGGCTAAAGTCACATAAAAATTATGGCATCAGAGTTACCAATTAATTTTGTAAGATGTAGAAAATTATAGTCTTTACTCATGCATTGCTACATATTGCAACATAAAACTTTTATGAACTTCCATGAAGAACATGTGCAATATTTAAAAGTATATCTGTATAAGTAAAAATTCACTTTTAAGATAATAGTCATTCCTCCATGAATCCTATTAAATGACACTTACATTTTTATATCTTCCAGGTTTTATTAATTTTAGTATAGCAATAAGATGAATTGTTTTCAATTTATTAATGTGAACAAAACATTCATAATACAGTCTTCCCAAGTTACCCTTGGGAAATCTGTTCTAAGATTCCACAGGGATATTTGAAACTGTAGAGCACTGAACCTTATACACATTATGTTTCATCTATGCATGTGTATACCTATGATATCAGATGCGTGTTATATACGATGAAAAATTAGTAAGAATAATAATAAAAAGGACAGCTATAGCAATATATTAATTAAGATAATATAATCTCTCTCTTTTGCGTATTATCTCTGACTCTGGTCCTTCCTCCCTTCTCTATCAGCTGTCATACTGTTAGTAGTATATATACTGTGATTTCACTGGACAAATGGCAGTGTGTACACCGTGTGTACACTAGACAAATAGGTATTATGTACGCTGTGAATACACTGGACAAATGAGTAGTATGTACACTGTGGATACACTGAACAGATGGGTGGTTCAGAGTGGAATGCAGATCATCACAATACTCATCACAGCAATTTACAGTTTGTGAGTTTCTGAAATTTTTATAATTATTTTTGGCCACGATTGAACATGAGTAACTGACGTAAAATCCCATAAAAGGAGGGACTGCTGTAATACACCTTTCAAAATATGATTACCATGGCAGTATATATTTTAAGTCCTTTTTGTCGAGATTATAATTTAATTAGAACATTTCCTCCTTCCCTTTTCTCTTTCCAAACATTTCCATATACCTCTTCCCACTCTGCTTCAGATTCATGGCCTCTCTTTTTAACTGTAATTGCAGTGTTTTTTTTTAAAATGAAGAAACCTTTACTTTTTATTTAAAAAAAAAACTACAAAACCTATCTTTAAAGTATATTAATATATAATTAATGTTAATACTAAGTAAGTTAGTAATTTTAATAATAAAATATGTACAGGCCAACTTTAAGTTAGACTTACGTTTACTAATGTTAAAAGTTATTTTCTGCAAAAACAAATAAATCCCACTTTTTTGTCTTAACAAAATAGACATAAAGAAGCTTAAAGTACAAAAGTATAGCTTAAAATAAGATCACTTTGATGAAATTTGAGTTATACTATAATGTCATAAGGAAACACTTTAACATATCTTAAAATGTTCAGACAATAGATTGTTTTAAGTCAGAGGAAAATCTGCATAAATTTCTACCAGTTCAAATATAAATAGCTGCTACTAGCATGTATAATCAAGAAGTTGAATTTCTTAGCATGAAAAGAATTTTAGGGCTTTTTATCATTGTTCAAGAACTTTCAGTTATTCTTTAAAACTGAGAATTTTAAAAGAAAATAATAATTTCTTAATGAATTAAACATTTTTTCTGAAATGAGAGGAGAGGAGAGGAGAGGAGAGGAGAGGATATTTTGATATGTGTATTTATAACCTGTGAAATCTTTCTTGATGATGTGTGGAAATGTTAGAGAAAATAAAATGAAATAAAAATTGAAGAAATTTAAAAATCTGAACTATTATCAAAGGCATCGAAAGAATGTACCCCAATGTAGGACAGAGTTTTCTGTGTTATTCACTTAGGATGCTGACTATATGAACATCATTCGTTGGGTTGGTTTTCTTTTTATTTTATTTTTTTTGTTTAGTTGAGACATAGTCTGAAGAGCACAGACTAGTCTGTTACTGTATACTCCTGGCTGACTTGAATACATGGTACTACCGTCCGACTATAGTCCTAGGATTGTAATCACGTGTCACCAACCTCAATTTTTTATTGTCTATCATATTCTTTTTTATATGTCTTGCTTTTGATCTGTTTTGTTATGTCCAAATGAGTCTGGTGCTTTTTTTATTGGAAAACCTTTATACAAGTGACCTTAAGAAAATATTTATTTTAACTGATTTTCTAGTTGACAGATCTGTGAATTCACCCAAATGACCCACTGAAAATACAAATGAAGTATTTTGTGCTTTCTATTAAATAAACATTGATTATTTCCCTTTATAGCTTTTAAAAATTTTAAACTCTCACATCTATTCATTCTTACAGAAATTTGTCTATATATGTGTATATACATGTGTATTTGTTTTTGCATATAAATATATGATTTTGGAAAGAAGATATAAGCCTAGCTCTTCAATATATAAAGGGAAATGATTTCCAGAAACATAAACAGATGTTAAAAAGTACCAGTGTTATTCAAGGACTCGGAAGAAAGCTGGAATGGTCTACTATATTATGTCAGTAAAAGCCATCCATTTCAGTTCCTATCTCTCCATGGGTGTCCACTCTTCAGTGACCCAGCAAACACTATTCAGACTTACTTGCCATTGCAATTACAATCTGCATCTCTTTTTTTAATAGACACGATGTTGAAAATAATTTCTATATTCATCATCTCCTTAAAAGTTTTGTTTTTAATAAGATGATATCAAGCTTTGGAATAAAATACAATTACATTTTGAAGTGAGAACTGAGTGTTCTGGGCATGTGGATAAAGCAAAACCAGGCAGCAATTTTCCTGAATGGCCTCTGTGGCTTTAAAATAGTTTTGCTTTTCAAGCCACCTAGGGCTTAAAGTAGATAAAACTGATTCTAAAGACATGTTTTCACACACTGAGTTACTTGTAAAAGGTGACAATTGGTTTCAAGATTTTTTTTCCTCTTAGATTTGTACTGTTCTTTATCTAATAACTATGATTCACCAGGAAGCTTTCAGATACTCCTGAGTAGGATCCTTCTCTATTTTTGTAAATATAAGCTTCATGCTCAAGTAAAAGAAAAGAGGTGTTTGCGAAGCCCAGCAAATGCTTTTAATATTAACAAGACCCTGACGCATAGTATGTAGAGGGTAAAACTTCTTTTCTTTTCCAGTAGTTTTGGTCCTACCTCTCCCTAGCTACTCAAATGTCTAAAGCTTATCATTTCCAACCACTGCAAACCATGTATAAACTAAACTTTAGGCACCTCTTTTTAACTTCCATCCATCTTTTAAGGTTACTTACTGTACTGAAACCAAGATTATAATAATTATATAAATAATCATGCACAGAAATAAAATGTAAGGTAAGTAATATTTCTTTATTTAACTTGATTTTGAAATTTGGAAGTTAAGAGAAAATAAAATGTCTGTGATATATTCAACTGACATAGGTAATAATGATAAAGTTCATTAAACAAAAATTTTGTAATTTATGTTTTATTTAGTAATTTTAATTTCAGTATTAAGCATTTCAGTGATAAAAAGGGTAGACTGTATTTTATATTGTAGTTTTTATAAGGCCACTTATACTAAAATTATTTAATATAATAATCATCAAAGAAAAGAGTCAAACCTTACTTCATATTCATTGGCCTGAGGGATGCAACTCCAGTCAGAGCAACCAATATTCAAGTAACTAAAATTCCTAACTCTTCAAAACCTGTCTGGAGAACACAAATTACTTATCCCATTATGTCAAATAAGGCACCCTTCTGGTTGGATGGACCCAATCTATTTCCATACATTGCTTCTCTTTTTATCTCTGTTGCTTGCCCACATTGCTGGGTGGATCTTTGAACCTCTATTAAGATTTAATGGGTGACTAACTCATGATCCCTTTCTTGTTCAAAGAAAATTTGATGAATTTCATTTGTCTGGAGTTTTTGTTGTTGTTGCTGTTGTTTGTCACACACCTTTTTAAAAAAAAATTATTTATTAAGTATACAGTATTCTGCCTGCATGTATGCCAGAAGAGGGCGCCAGATCTCATTACAGATGGTAATTAGCCACCATGTGGTTGCTGGGAATTGAACTCAGGACCTCTGCTCTTAACCTCTGAGCCATCTCTCCAGCCCCTGTCTGGAGTTGTTAACAGCTTTAGCAATAATGTACAAACTTAAAATTACAGCTTTTGCCAAGGCAACACTGACATCAATTTCTCTCCAATGGGTCCTTTAGATTACCAGTCTTCCTGTAGCACTCCTATTGGCAAAAATAAATATAAAATAAAACAAAATAAAGATAATAGGAAGAATTAGAGAAAAAAAGCAAGTACAATTGTGTTTTTCACGTGAGAAAGGAAAAGAGATTTCTAATTGAGCTACAAGAAACTAACACAAACTCAGACACACCATCAATTAACTCTGCTTTGATCAGTAAACACAAACAGAAGACTAATTCAGCAAAAAGCAAAGCAGTTAAAAATTTTAAATTAACGAGAAATGGGAATATGCTAAGAAGTACCTTTATTGATGGTTATAACCTTTATGATCTTGAAATACAATAGAGTTCTGGGATTTTTTCTCAACAATTTTTGATATATGTCATGTTCCGCTACTAGAACTCCAGAAAAGAATGAGAAATTTCATTAGGACTTAGTGTATTTTTTTAATTCTGCATTTTTGCAATTGTTTCTAACATGATGTAAACATATGTTGCTGTTTATTGGAGGGGTATGCTTTTATGACATTCAGGTCTCTGTTGTAGAGCATTTGAATTTTATTCTCTTTCTCATATTTCAGCTTTCCTCTTCTTCCTCAGATAGCTTCTCAACATTTTGCTTTTGTTCCTCAAGTTCTGTTCCAAGATTTTCCTCTTCCTTCTTGGATGACTTTTTACCTTTATGTTTTCTTTTCCTAGGTAAAGATGCAATATATCTCCTTCTTTCCTCATATCTTTTATTCTCTAAACACAAAAAACAAAGTAACAAGAAGGAACATACAATAAAAGTCAAAAGCCAAATAAGAATTATGATGTAAATCATTTTGTGTGATCTTCTTACAGGAGGTGGGCCACTGTCAATACTACCTCCATAGCCCTTTTTCAGACAGTTGGGTGGAGCCCAATATTCATTACAATGGCAGTGATGTTTATTGTTGCAGATGCCTCTTTTATTGCAGAACATAGGCATACAAGATTCTTCCCATGGTGGCATAAAGACACACTTCCTTTCCAAGCACAGAAAGTCTGGACCACATTCTGTACCATCGTTCACCTCACCAGTATCAGGTACATTCATCCCAAAATGGTAATCAGTACTCCAGCAGCTGTTTCCATCAACTTGAGTTGAATGCACAGTAAAATGATTGCTTAAATGGGGAACTTCTCCTATATTCTCACATTGTACTCTCCCACACAGAGCATCTTTATAACTACATCTTACATACTTATTATCTTTCCTACCACAATTACCAAAGCGATCACCTTTGGTGTTCACTGCTAGGTAGCAATTCTTATTTGCATTCTTGGCTCCCTTGCCAAAAAGTTTTCTGCACTGATCATCACGGTTATTACATTTCTTTTGAAAACAGATATTCCTGCCCAGACAGTGGATCCCGTCCTCCACATACACATCTTCTGGGCATGCAGCAGAGCTTCCATTGCACCACTCTGGCAGATCACATTGATTGACACGTTCTCTACACACTGTGCCTGATGGCATAAACTGGCAGTTATGGCAACACAGCCCAGAAGCACATTCTGCCCCAGATACCAGAGTGCAGTTTTCTGAGCAACATCCATCTTGGGCACACAGTTTTAAGGAACCACAATCGCATTCCTCTTCGTCTTCAATCACACCATTCCCACAGCGTTTCTTTATAAAAATAGCCTGTGGGTTTGGGACATCGGTCAAACAACTCTTTCTAGAAATAGTCTCTAAATATTGTGCATAACTACAGTTGCTGAATGCATCTGAGGGTATTAGCCTTTTGTTCATTACACATACTTTTCTCTCACATGCGCAGTTGTTACCATCATCATTCATCATTCCCAATGTGTGACCAATCTCATGTGTCACATATGTTCTAAATGAAGCCAATCCATCATCCATAATGCACTCTAAACCACAATTCAAATTAATATTACATACTTCAGAAAAGTATGACTCAGTAAGATGCTTAAAACAAAAATCCTGCTTCACAATAATATGTGCAGAGTCATGAGCTACACGGCTATTGAAGCTGGATTTCTTCCATTTGCAAAACTGTTCCATCATATGACGTGTGGTAGTTACTGAGTAGGGGTTTCCTGCACTCCAAACTTCAACTCCAGTTAGAACCACATCAAGACTAATTGAGCTATAAATATCATCTACTAAATTGACGCCCATGAATACATCCATTTCCACAATGGACACATTCCTTTTCCTAAAAATGAATCTTCCATAATCTACCACAATTGCTAGTTCAAGAAACTGTCGGTGGAGCCACCATCCTGTATGAGAACTTCGCATCAGAGTGGAATTAGCATTATCTTGAGACTTCAATTGCTCTACTATTTCTTCTTCAGTTAGTCCACAACCTCCATGTGCATACTGTGTGTCTTCCATCTTATACACCAGATGTTCAAATGTGGCAGAGCGCACTTTGGGCTTGATTTCATAGGTGACTCCATTTGTCTGCAGTATTCCTTGAAGGCTTCCTAGACAAGTACTAAGAGTAACCATGGATTTAGGGTCCCCTTCCACATAACCATGGTAATAGCAGTCATTCTGGACAAAAGGCTGGTCCTCAATAAGAGCACCCTGGTCAGTGTAGGTGAACACAGTGAGAGCTCTGGACACCAAATGCTTCTTAGCCTTCATGTGGACAATGTGTCTCTGGCCCCCAAAGTGCAGGCTATAGGAGATCCAGCCTAGAGCTTCCATACTTTTATAAGTGCTAGGTGCTCTCAAGGGTATCACCACTTCAGGGAGGCTCTGGTATCGGGACATCCCAGTCTGTGGCCATGCAGACAAAAACATTGTTAATTCCAGCCACAGTGGCAAGAAAGTAATTTTCGCATGCCCCAGAGTCTCCAGCACTGTCATTATGAAATAAGGAGTGAAAGGGAAGGATGTAGAGAAGGTGTCTCTGCTTGTCTGTCTCTTCTCTTTTGAGTGCGTTGTAGATGGTGGTCGTATTTAATGGCCAGGCTTCAGGAGGAGTCAATCCATCAGAGGGAGAACTAAACGTAAGAACAAAAAGGAGGGCTGAAAATGGTTTGGGTGCGGACAGCCCAGGTGGAGCAGAAAGAACAAGAGAATGGGTTAAAATGTAGGAGTGTTTAGCTCATGGAATGGCTCGTTACAGTGTGTTAGTAGTACACTGGTGTATTGGTTACAGAGTATTGGTAGCACACTGGTAGCATAATTATTGGTTAGGCAGAATTGGACTCCGGTGAGCAAAAGCCCAGGAACTAACCATGAATTGACAGTTAAGTACCTACATAATGGCCACAGAGAGCCATCATAATATTGTTTATGTGCTTATGTGTATGTGTACGTGTATATAGTCTCCACTGCAAATAAATCAAATCATGTCAATAAAAAGATAAGAAGTACCTTGTTTTGATAGGGAATTATGATTTTACATAATGGCTTAGGAAAATATCAATAATTCTTCCTTTGTATTTCAAATGACTCTTCATCATATTAATCAGGAGAAATGTGTAAAAGTTTTTCATACCTGTTTTAATTTTATCACATATATTGCTTAATTACATTTAATTTATATGAAATTCTATTTAATGTTCATACTTCTGTAACCTCTATCTAATCCCATGAAACATTAAAGTATGAAAATACCACTAATAATTTATTGTTAGTCATGGTATTGGGTAAGTTCAATGATACACATATATAGGAAAAAAAGATAATAATTACACTTGCAGACTGCAATAAATTAGGGTAATAAAAATGTTATTGAAAGGTTTCTATATCCAGTTCTATTGTTTTTCTTTAAGCCCTCTAAACATATTAAGTGGAAAGGAATGCTACCTAGTAATGGAACAGTTGGAGATGGGAGAATACATAAGAGAAAAAAAATGTGCAGAAATTAAAAGAAAGTCAATGAACCCCAAGAAGGCAGTAGAAGTTTTGGCAAAAATAGTGTTGATGTTTGGGACAACAATGTTTATATGAACGTACCTGTGATTTTTAGAAGTATGGGCTAATATCTATAATAAGCATTCAGAGATATTTATCTCATAAATAAAGTTAGACACAGAGAGACATGAGCATGCAGGCATGCACACACACACACACAAATACATATATGTATTAAATACCAAAATATCAAAAACCTCAATAATACAAATATGAAATTGAGAAATATGCTACTAACACGGAGTTACTAGCAACCTTAACTTGTTTCTTTGTTCTTAAATAAAACAGGAATAAAACTATATTATATGCATACACAGTGCTGCCTAACTGGGAAAATACATACATGCTATAGACCTAAACAACTTAGTCATCTAGAGCATATATTTAGACCTAGCATTTAAGACAAAAATATGCTTTATAAATCTGTAGCATTGTATTGTTTTGTGTATGATTCCTATGCTTCTTTGGTCTTTTTTTAACCTATTGAGTGTATCCCCACACTTTATCAGATGACTAAAGAAACAAATTTATTAAGTAATGAAGTTAAAGATTCCTAGGATAGTTACAGTGAAAATCTACTATGAAAGTATTAAATTGCACCAAAGGAAAAACATACCACCATAGTAAATATAAAATACATGTTGCCAAATATTCAACACCTACCTATATCAAGGCTTAGAAATCATTTCTTTTCAATTTTTATTTTATCATAATCCTATGTAGTTTAACTTGTTCCTTTTAAAATAACTACTTTACTGTTACCTATGAAATATTCTTTTCATGAAAAACTTAAGGACCCCTTCTCTATATACATGTTTTATGTAGGACTTATTAGTCCTACGTGATGATACAGAAAGTTTACAACAAGAATAGGAGAAGGTTATTAGTCTCAGAATTTCAATATGCAGTAAATATAACCAGGTGTTTGGCTGTGATTTGTTTTTATTTCCAAAGTCAATCCTGGTTGCAATTTTGTAAAACTATTACTGACTTTTCTGCCTTAGTCTTACAGCAACATCCTAAACAGTCTTCACAAGGAATTGGATGGCCAAGTGTCTTACCAACATCCTCACTGTGCATGCTAAGCTTATTAACAACCCACAAAACATACAAATTTTTCACCTTCATAATTAATCTTAAACCATATTTACCATCAGTTTAAGAGCATGACTGTACAGTAATAGCACATTTGAGTATCTAGCTCATATATTAAAAAAATAACAACGTTTATTCTTAACTGAAAATTTCCCTTTAAATCTACAAAGGACACAACTTTTTTTCTTATGCTTCAAGTTCCTGTCATTGTATATGTTATCACAATTGCCCAGCTAAGAGTGTTACAAATTCACTTTGACCAAAATCCTCAACTCGATCCAGACCAATGTCTTTCCTCCTGCAACATGCTAACAATACTATTGGGCGAAAATCACAGTCTAGTTACTTAAAGGGTGATTTAAATAGAAGAAAGACAAAATTAGGACAAGGAAGCCCTATACAACACTACCTAGGATGAAATCATGAATGGGCAGTCATTTCAAACCCTCCTATATCATTAGTAATCTGAGATTTATTGCCTGCATTGTCTTGTAACTTTCTGGTTTTCTGAACTTAATTGTCAAAGGAACTTGTGATTTGAATAATATTTGTCTCCCATAGTCTCATATTTTTGAATGCTTAAGTCACCAGGGCATGGAACTCTTTGATAGCGTTAGAAGGATTAGAAGTTCTGGCCTTGTTAGAGAAAGTATCACTGGGGGCGGGCTCTCTCATTCTCTCTCTCTCTCTCTCTCCTCTCTCTCTCTCTCTCTCTCTCTCTCTCTCTCTCTCTCTCTCTCTCTCTCTCTCTCTCTCCTTTCTCTCTCTCTCCTTTTCTTTCTCTGCCTATAGATCAGGATGTAGCTCTCAGGTACTGCTCCAGCGCCATGCTTGCGACAATGCTGAGAATGGACTGAACAGCTCAAATTGTAGTCAAGCACTCAATCAAATGCTTTGATCATGTTGTCTCTTCACAACAATAAAACAAGGACTAAGACAGAAGTTGGTGCTGGGAGTGGGGTCAGCAATAGAACAGTCACTAAGATAGTACCTAAACTGAAAATCAATGATGCCTGTGTGTGGATTGGGTAATTAAATTTCAGTAATGGTAATTTGAATTATATAACCTATAAGACTCCATTTAATACTTGATTAATAGCAAATCAAATATTATTATGAGTCTTTGTTTCGCCTTTGAAGAGAGGCAGCAGAAAGCTGTTTCAGGTTGAAAATTGGTCTCATGGTTAGAGTGAAAGAACTGCCTCAATTACTTAGTGGATAATCAACACTTATGGGAGACTCACTTCATAGGATGCATGGAGCTCACAGGAAAAAACAAAATCCAGGGGAGAAAGCATTCAAGACAGCACTTCTAGCTTTGGAGTCAAATCCTGAAGTGCTGTGCTGCTTTTCATGCTTTTCCACCACATTTTTGGTAATTGCTATGCAGTGTAAATTTTATTCATGATTGAAGAATCATTTATTAATTTAGTATGTCTGTGGATGAACTTAAGTTAATAGTAAGTCTCTCATAACCAAGTAACAGGAGAAGTTGACAACAAAAATCCTTGTCAGACTCTCTTTTCACCTGTTACATTATTTTTTAAAGTGGCTGCAGAGACAAAAGCACCTGAGAGAATATAATATTTTGATGATTTTGTATAAAGTCACATAGTAGTATAGACACTTCTAAGTAAATAGCCATACATCATATTTGATAAGTTCTCCTTCCTTCTCTATAGTCTCATCATCTTTATTAATCTCTTTACCCTAATTGCTATCTGGCCTTCTTGTTCTAACATGTAGCCCTATCTACTATGTTTCAAATTATGACTAACAACATCATAAGAAAAAATAATTTGGCAGCATTGTCCAAATAAAATTATTATCCAAAAATCACATTTGTCTTTTTAATGTTCTATATACATGCATGTAGAACATGATTCCTTATCATATATATGTGTGGGTGTACATGTGTGTTCAAATATGCATAAATATAGTTGCTTCTTTCCATAGAACTTCAGTGTTGAATGGCTTACCAAAGGATGAGTTATTGGATCCCATGATCTTAGTAGTTGCAGCCTTATTCAAGATTGTTTATAACAGCCACCTACATGGACTAACATGTTTATTTGAGACCTCACATAACAAAGACAAGTGTAAATTCTGTCCTTCAATTGTCTCTCACTTAAGTTCTAGAATATCCGCCTAGAAACAAGGTTGTCTGAGTTCTACAGAACCAGTCAAGTGACTGCATTTCCTTTTGACTCTGGCTCTGTACGGTTTCTATTAACTCTTGTTACAAAGTATCTCAGTATGAAGAAATCTGATTTCATTAGCCCTATTTTGTGGTTTCAACAACTATTCCATGTGGATGAATTTACTTTCCTTCCTTGGATGTTTATGCCTCCTTCATACAGTATAATTATTTTATTTCTGTACATTTGTTCATACTGTTACCATGGTGCCAAGTTATTTCTTTAAAATAGAATCATATTATGACACACTGCAAAGATATTGAATTCCAGAAGAAAGTCCAATTTCATTTGAAATACTATCTCTTGACTCTGGGCCTCTACCACCGTCTCTGTCTTTCTAAGGATACTGAGTAACACAGAGGCATATCATTATGTGAATATTCTCTACATATTACATAGAACTTTGGTCACCAAGAAAGGCAGAAAAAAATAGGAAATAAGAAAATGAATAAAATAATAATGTCAGAATATATTTCATATGTAAGTTGACTGCCTGACCATTTAAATATCCTGCCTTGGAGTAACTACATTAAGCCAGTGGTTGTTGGAAGTCACATGAAAAGGTTATTATTCTTGACAGCTTACTTTTCAGATTATGATCTAGAAAGCATAAATGATATTAAAATAAAAGTTTCAAGTATGGA